GCAAAAAAAATTTTTTTTTTTTTTTTTTTTTTTTTTTTTTTTTTTTTTTTTTTTAGTAGGATAGATTAATCTCAATATTATCATTATCACACTTTTGTTTTCCTTCAGACATAACTCTTTTTCTCTTTCTTTCACTCAGGCATGGAGGAGAAGATTACGTGTTTTCTCTCCTGACCAGTTACTGTGATCCTCCAGCTGGTGTGTCTGTGAAGGAGGGCCTGTATTACAACCCTTATTTCCCTGGCCAGGCCATTGGTATGGCACCACCCATCTACAATGAGGTGCTCGAGTATGATGATGGTGAGTTTTAAAGTTTTCTATTATCATTAACCTTTTTTTGACACGCATTCGTATTTCTACTAGGACTCTCAATAGATCAATCTCATTTTGTTTGTGATTAAACCCATTTAAATGAATTTCTTTCTTTTTTTTATAAATATCGTGCATTCATTTTGAATGCGTTTAGTTCATTTTGGTGGAAAGAAGGGAATAGAATAATAAGATTTGTCAGGCCACTGGTGGCATTCTCATTAATGTGTATTTTACTCATGGGTTATATTTCATACTTTCTGAGCTCTGACTATAATTAAATTCTGCCATATAAAAACTAAATTACTTTTCATCCCACCTGATTTGATTTGCATATAAATTAGCTATTTAGAAAGTTAAGTGGCTGAATATAAATGAGAGCGTCTATTGGATTAAATGCAGTTATGAGGTATTACAACTAATGGACATGAAGTAACATATTAAGTATTATATGTGTAGGTCAGAGTTTGTTAATAACTCGCTTCTCCTCCATAGGAACTCCTGCCACCATGAGCCAGGTTGCTAAAGATGTCTGTACTTTCCTGAGGTGGGCGGCCGAGCCAGAACATGACCAGCGTAAACGTATGGGACTGAAGGTTTGTATTTTCCTTTTTCCATCCCTACTAGTTAATTTTTTCAGATGTTGGTGGAAAATTAGATTTATTTAGTGCAATACTAAATGCTCACAACAGAAGAGCAAAACATGGATGAAAAGATGTTGCATCTCGACATGTGTCCTCATTAAAGCACCATCGCTAAAAAAAAAAAATGGTGCTTATTGTTTTTCTCTGATTCTCTCTGCAGATTTTAATGGGCGCCTCCATACTTGTTCCCCTGGTCTACTACCTTAAGAGGCACAGGTGGTCTGTGATGAAGAGTAGAAAGATTGCCTACAGGCCTCCCAAATAAAGCCAAACTGCTGCCGTCACCAGGCCTTGACACAACGTTAAAACCTGATTCACGATTGTCCGATCTTTTTCAGAATGCACAATGCTTCAAGATAAGGTTGCTATCATCAATAACCGCTGGACATCCTTTCAGATAGGTGTCCTTGCTCCTATATGACTTGGGGAGTGGGACCTGAGACAACCTTTGTGATGTTTTACTGTAAAATAAATATTATCTCAATTAATTATTTGTGGTTGTTTGTAAGGTGTGTGCTCAGAGGCGAAAATCAAAAATGCATTTGCAACCTTCTTGTGCTTTGTGAGATCTGTCCTTGCAGTAGGCTCTCTACACTTTGTTGTGTAAATATTTAATAAAAACGGTATATCTTAATGACCTCTTATAACAAATCTGGTGGTTTGTGATGTGATTCTTTCAGTTTGATCATTGAGGTTGATTTGTTTAGTTGATGTTTTTATCCAAAGCGACCTAAAAATGAACGTATTATCAGATGTACTGCAATATTCAACATCCCAGATTTGGACCTTTATAAGTACAGATGCGGGTAGTTTAGACGTGTATAAAATGTTGTGAAATCAACTGCTTGTCGAAAAGCTGTTTTCTGGGATTTCCTGAAGGTTTTGATGCACCATAGACCAGAATGCTAATGTAATTTAAATGTCTTTGTCTAGATTTTTAGATAAACATGCACAGGCATCACTTTGATCTTCATAACTGCAGGGCTAATCGGCTGTTTTAGACTGTAAGGCGACTCTAATATTTGTCCAGAGAGCACTGGGTAAATGTTTAGTCAGACTTCTCAAGATGATTGTAAATAGCTGAACCGTGAAAACAACATGAGTGTAAAAAAGTTATGCTTGAATTTGAAGATGTGATATGGCAGAAACTGAAAGAAAGAAGGAGGTCCAAAACATAAAAGAAAAAATTACAACTTATTAAAATACATCCAGATGGTTTCACTTTAAAGATTTAACAAAGAACAAATGTGGCTTACCATGTAGAAAATAAAAGTTCCTAATAAATCCTAATTAATGTGTTTGTTTTTTTTTATCATTAGTATATGTTCATATAATATATTTAAGGGTCAGTCCATAAGTAACTTTGGGCAAATTAATAACATTACAACAAAATTTTAAAAAATCAGATTACACTTGCAAAATCAATGAATTAAACACCACAAAATGTATATTTGATATCAATATATATTTATGTAATTAAAGCTGTTGCATGGTTATATTTTGTGCAGATTTTACTACAGAATGTGAGCGTACTTTTTTTATCTGTGATTACATGGGTGTGTAAAAGTTGAGTGGCTAATATAAAAATAGTAAATTGTTGAAAAAACCAGCATATGCTTGTTAGGTATGTTTTGGTTTAAGCTGGTCCTTAGCTGGTTTAAGCTGGTCATGTGCTGGTCCTAAACTGGTCCGGCTATCTTAAGACCAGCACATGAGCAGCTAAGGATCAGCATAAACCAGCAAAGGACCAGCTCAAACCAGCATCCCAGCTTCAAAACATACCTAACCAGCATATACCGGGGTTTTTTTCAACAGGGAGAGGTTCTAAAATCCACGTTAAGGTATAATACAAACATTTTATAAAAGTAATGTTTTTTTTATAGTGATAAGTAATTATAAAATAAAATAAAATAAAAAAGTTTTTAAATTCTACCACTAGAGGATCAACACAGCAGAGACGCTCCAGCTACGCGGTGGAATCTGATTGGCTGAGAGGATTCCATCACTTCCTCGGTGTACCGGAAATGGGTCACTGGAAGTCGAAGTGACGGCTAGCTTTACTGCCGCACGAGAGGGAGAATGGATGCGTTAAATAAACTTAAACAATTTGACGCTTATCCGAAAACTCTAGAGGACTTTAGGATCAAAACATGTGGAGGAGCCACGGGTGAGTGATACATATCCACCGAGAGCTGCAGAAGTGCTGAGCGCCATTCATACACACAGGCTCGTGGGGAGAAAGCGGTGCTGAACAGGCTAATTAACATAAAGTCTTAAAATATGCACATATACTTACACATTGAAATGACACAAAAATTAACATAGTTTGAATGGAAATTGTCACTGGGGGGCATAAATCCCAAACTGTATGTGATAAGAGTCATGTTTAATGAGACTGACATGTAGCTCAGTCTTTAAGAAGTTGTTTCTAATTCACATGTTCTTCGTTCACTTTGTAGTGACCATCATCAGTGGACTTATTATGCTGATTCTGTTCTTCTCTGAGCTGCAGTATTATCTAACTAAGGAGGTGGGTGAATGACTTCAAACTACCTTGTTGTGCATAATACATATGTAACTCAATCTCATGACATCTGTGAGTCTGTAGTGACCGTGCATGTCGATTTTATAGTACTATTGTGTGTTTTTAGAGCTGTTCACAAACGTTTGATGGAATATGTTTGAGTTCTGGCTTTGTTGTCATCTCTTAGGTCCATCCTGAACTATTTGTAGACACTTCCAGAGGAGACAAACTAAGAATCAACATTGATGTTATATTTACACATATGCCTTGTGCCTGTAAGTGAACATTTTGTTCCGATTTATGTTTTGCATGATTTGTAGATAAAAGTTACTGTCATGTTGTACATAATACACTATATAACCATATAAGCAAATCAAATAAAGTAGGGCTTGATTAAGCAGTTGTCAAATGAAAGAAGGCACTATACTGTGTAATATGTTTGATTTCGAAGGACCTGAAAGTATCCAGATCATATGTTGATCGCAGTGTGTCAAGCACATGTCCATGTCATAAATCACCCCAAAAACCTGATGCAATCATGCAAAAGCAAACTGACACTTTACCTAATTGAAGATGGTGTTATCATGATATTTACTCATGATATTTATTTAGCCGTTTGAAGTTATTTTCTCTGGCCGTGCGGGTTGTTGAGTTGTGATTGTTTTCTTAGATCTGAGCATTGATGCCATGGATGTAGCAGGGGAACAGCAGCTAGACGTGGAGCATAACTTGTTTAAACAGAGGCTCGACAAAGACGGCCAGCCAGTCACGGCAGAGGCCGAAAAACACGGTCAGTATCATCATAGTAAGTGATGTTCTTGTTTTCTGAAATACTATGGAAAAATGTACAGTGCATCGTTACTGAAAGATGCCGATTAAGTGATTTCACATGAAACTTTAAAAGTATTAATGTAATTTTCAAGCTATATTTAACTCTTTTCACACATACTTAAAATACATAATTAAAGGAATAGTTCATTCATAAATGAAAGTTGTTGTTTTTTAAATTTTACTTTACTGTAAACAAAATAAATAATTAAATTCTAAAATTAAATCCAATATCTAAAATAAAATCTAAATAATGAAAACTGTAAACAAAAGTGGGATGTGCAATTACAAACAAAATAGTAATGTACAGATTTTTTTGAATATATGCCTTGATTTGACTTGTCCTTTCTGTTTTCTGTGCAGATTTGGGGAAGGAGGAGGAAGGGGTGTTTGACCCCAGTAAGCTGGATCCTGACCGCTGCGAGAGCTGTTATGGAGCTGAGACAGACGATTTAAAGTGAGTTTCCTTTTTCTGATAAGGCACCACCACCACAAACAGAGCAGCAGAGGTTTTCTGATGGGAAAGTGCTGGTAGAACCGGTCTGTCTGCTGGCATGAAACCAGTTCTAAAAGTCATTGTAAAGATCCGGTAAATCGACAGAAGCTTACATAGTCAAAATTTCTCAAATTCATAACCACCTGGCTGAATGAAATTGGAAGAGATTAATTAGAAGTTTAAAATTCCTCTGGATTCACACTTACTTTGTTGAAAGTAAGTGCCATTTAGGCAGCTGAATTGTCAGTCAACCAATAAAATGTACATTCACATTTGTATTGTTTCCTGCAAAAGCCCTTCACAAGGAATGTATTTGAGACATTTTAATGCAAAGCGTAAATGGCCAATCCGTTATTGTCGTATTTTGTATATACAATCAGTATTTATTAACAATTTGAATTAGTTTTTCATTTTAATTATAGTTTAATAATTATGTGCTTTTGTCATGTTATTTTTATATTTCTATTTAGCTTTATTTTTATTTCATTTAGTCACCAAGGCAACATTTCTACGTTTTTGTTTATTTATATTTCATATTATTTCAGCTTTATTTTAAGTAACAAAAACTTTTTAATAGTTTTAGGTGACCGAAACAACACTGCTTTTGATCAGTGCCTGATGTTAATAGCAGGTGTATATATATAGGGCCAATTTAAGACATGATTTGAGGCACTAACTGGTTGTTCTGCAGGTGTTGCAATACCTGTGATGATGTGCGGGAGGCGTACCGGCGGCGTGGCTGGGCGTTTAAGACCCCTGACACCATTGAGCAGTGTAAGAGAGAGGGCTTCAGCCAGAAGATGCAGGAACAGAAGAATGAAGGATGCCAAGTCTATGGCTTTCTGGAGGTCAATAAGGTAACATGCAGCCTCGTGATCTGATTTCTGAATCAATGTTTTTATTAGGTTCAAGTACATTCTATATATTAAAAAAAAAATCACATCTTTCTCCAGGTGGCAGGGAATTTCCATTTTGCCCCTGGAAAGAGCTTCCAGCAGTCTCATGTACATGGTAAAGACTCCGGTTTTGTTGTTAAGTATGAATCGAACACAAGTCAAAGCTCTTAGGTCTGATCCAGAGGCATATTTATTCGTTTTAGCCCATTAACTTATCCATGACTTGACCTTTTGTATTCGGTTACAAATTTGGATTATTATTAATTGTATTATCAAATTGAAACAGCTTTTATATCAAGCCTATGTGCCAGTATGTGTCAGACCTGAACGTTTGATTTGTCTGCATGTAGCCTCTCATTTCTTGGTATGCAAATGCATAGTGAGCCATTCAGTGCTGTACTAATGTCTTGAGATCCGCATTTGTATTTATGTAGAGAAACACACAATGCACGTCTTGCATATTTGCTTTTTTCTGCCTGCTTTCTCAAAACTGTTCATCAGTCCATGCACCTGAGAATCTGTAGTTTAAATCAGCTCAAAGTCTGTTTTATATTGACCAGTTGCTTTGTTTCTGAGCTGATAAACAGTTGTTTTTTTTTACCCTCTTGTTGTCGTCGTTGTGTATGCAAGTGTGCCTTTAAAATCTTATGAATTCTTCTATACACTCATTACCTTGTGTCGACCGTTGATGCTGTAAATCAAAGCTGTTTTTTATTCATGAAATTATTTTTGGTTAGTCTGGGTTTTTAACTTTGGGACAAAAATGTTTCTATGCTTTTCCACCAAAGCTCACAATCTTTCTAAGTAACAAGGTACAGAACTAACACCAGTTATGCTTGGTCGTGCATAAGCTATTTTTCCAGTGCATATACAGTACTCATTAATACACTTTTACAGACCTTGGATTCATAGAGCCAATCACGTGTTTAGACCGCCCCCTAATGGTGAATGATGAAACTGCACTTCTATAATCTCCTATACAGTACAAAAAGCAAATTTTGGATCTATTCCCTATCATAATATAAAGGTTAGAACAAAAATATAAACACGTGGCATCGATGTGCCAAAAAAAAAACTTGTTATATCAACTTACTGTTTTTGTTGTTAGTGCACCAGAATTTTAAGGGAATAATTTAGAAATATAATTTCAGCTGACACAAAACATTGAGATCCTGTATGTCTAGATTGACCTCTGCACTCTTTTACTCTTTACAGCATCAATGATGTACCAGTATTTTGTGAAAATTGTGCCAACGATATACGTTAAAGGAGATGGAGAGGTAAGCGAGCTAAGCTATGAGAAAATAAGGGGGTTAAAAACAGAACACACAAAATTGGTAAATCTGTGGTTACTTGGTAAATATGACAATATATAAATAAATAAGGTCTTACAGCAGTATATCTGCAAATTATGGCTGTCATGGTAATCTTTTATAAGAATATGTTGTTTAAGAAGATGAGAATATTTTTTAAAACTCTGCTTCAATTATTGCCTTTGATTTGTTTAGACATGTTGATAAAGCAGGGGATAATAGAAACCATGCTTTTGTCTTTTACGTTAGGTTGTTAAAACAAACCAGTTTTCAGTAACGAGACATGAGAAAGTAGCCAACGGGTTGATTGGAGATCAGGGTTTACCTGGTGTGTTTGTGCTTTATGAACTATCTCCAATGATGGTCAAATTCACAGAGAAGCAAAGGTATGCTGTTTTATTGTTGTGAACTTCTCATTTAATTACATAACATACGTTTAGTTCACTTTGATTGAAAGAAACCGATTAAAGTCATGTGTGTTGCATGCTGGAATGATTTTGATATATTTTTTCATGTGTTTTCGTCTGCAGGTCTTTCACCCATTTCCTAACAGGAGTCTGTGCTATTATAGGAGGTGTTTTTACAGGTGAGATTCCATTTGTGTGTTTTGTACTTGAGAGCGGTTTTCACAGAAATGTACTGTGTGTGCAGAACGAAAGAATGTAGACTGTAAACTGCCTTTTACTGCTTGTTTTTACTGTGGCGGTAGCGTTTTGAACATTTATATGCTCAGAACTGTCCTTCTGCACATCATGTACATGAGAAGTGTGTAAAATCCAGCCAAGCTGTTTCCAGTTCAGCAGCATTCAGAAAGGCACACTCAATTCGTGATGTGACATGTGGCCAAGTGGCCATACTCAGAATTAGTGCTCTGCATTTGCATTTATCCCATCCAAAGTGCACACACACAGCAGTGAACACACACATACCCGGAGCAGTGAGCAGCCATTTTTTTGCTGCGGTGCCCGGGGAGCAGTTGGGGGTTCGGTGCCTTGCTCAAGGGCACCTCAGTCGTGGTATTGAAGGTGGAGAGAGCGCTGTACATTCACTCCCCCCACCTACAATCCCTGCAAAACCTTTGGGCTATGAGTCCGACTCTCTAACCATTAGGCCACGACTTCCCCAGTTTTTTTGATCTACAGACTTAAGTTTAAATGCTAAAGATTAGTCTTTTAGACCCAAAGCATGAAGGAAAATCAGTCAACAAGTGTTCAGCATGCATGTGAACACCTTTAATTCTTTTTAAAAACATCATGAAGTTATTTGAGAGAAGCATAGAGTGTCAACTTAAAAAAAATTAAATCGGGCTGCATAATTTAAGGGGAAAAATCTATTTGTGATTGTTCTGATAAAGTCAATTTTGCTTTCATTTTCTATATTTTTTATTATTATTGTATTTTATTTGTTATGCATTATTTTAAAAGTTTCAGGTTTGCTGTGCTTGATTGTAAAGCTGCATATTTTGGCCAAACATTTTGTGATTTGTATATTAATATGATAATAATAATATACGTATTATTATTATTCATATTTCAAATTATTTTGTTTATTTTAAATGTTTTGTTTAATAATTATTATTATTACTATTACTAAATTGAAATATTAATCAATAAGAAATATTGTTATTTTAATACATCACTGTAAAATGAAAAACAAATCAAGTTCTTAAAAATATCTATTTTATTTTACAGTACAACTGTAAAATTACAATACTAGTATTTACCAAAGCTATAATATAATTTTGTATTTTTGTCACTAATTATATGTCTCATATATATTTATTTAATTAAATTCAGCAATTTGATGGTCGCTCTATAACCATATCGTGATTTAGGTTTTATTTTGATTATTGTGAAATCCTAAGCAATAGTACAATTTATTAGTATTTATATCACTAAATAATCCTCATCTTTCATTTGTATAATTTGATTGTTTTGATGGCTTTACTGTGTACGAAATGTGAACGCAACATGTGAACGGCAGTCTACCGCTCCAGGGATGTTAAAGGGGTCATATGATGCTGCTAAAAAGAACATTATTTGGTGTAATGCAGGGGTGCCCAGCCATGGTCCTGGAGATCTACCTTCCTGCAGAGTTCATTTCCAACCCTGATCAAATTATCAAGTGCTCCTTCAGACCCTAATTAGATGGTTCAGGTGTGTTTGATCAGGGTTGGAGCTAAACTCTGCAGGACGGTAGATCTCCAGGACCAGGGTTGGGAACCCCTGGTGTAATGCAATGTGTTTAGGCGGTTTAAGGTTAAAAAAAAACATTATTTTCCACATACTGTACATTATTGTTTCTCCTCTATGCCCCGCCTTTCTGAAACACGTCGATTTTTACAAAGCTCATTGGTCTGAAAAGCGAGGTGTGCTCTGATTGGCCAGCTATCCAGTGCGTTGTGATTGGCCGAATACCTCAAGCGTGTGACGGAAATGTTACGCCCCTTACCATACTGTGATGCCCTGTCCGGCCGGAGCGACGAGACAAAAACATTAAAACCCATTATAAACGAGGCATTTGTTGCATCCAGTGGGGACATAATTACGGATTATAATGACTTATACTGTTTTTTTACGCGTTGCATTGCGTATCACGCCGTGTAAACATAAAACCATGTCTGCATTTGTGATCGGAGAAATGACAAACAACAAGCGCTACTCTACACTGCTCAAAACTCACGTTTGAATTGTCAGTGACAAATTCTTTAAATATGAAAACATACTTACAATCTGTGAGTCAGAACGGGAAGAGCTTGTAACACTCCAAAGAGAAAGGAAAAATTTAAATCTCATTATATGACCCCTTTGCCAGATGTACCTGTAGATGTGCTCACTATCTCACCTAGTCCGTTCTCTCCTGTTCCTGCAGTTGCTGGACTCATCGATTCTTTGATATACCACTCAGCAAGAGCCATACAGAAAAAGATCGAGCTGGGTAAAGCATCCTAGCACCACAGGGACACTGGGTGCATGACTGTGTCTGGAAACTTCTGTGTTTTAAAGGGAAGATGCCACAATGAAAGCCCCAGACTGTTTCTTGCTGTGGCCACAGAGCAGTATCCGTCGACACGGCCCCTCGCAAGCAAGCACAGGAACCACACAAGGACCTGTGACTAAGACACTGGCCGACTGTATTTTGGAGGATCATATGAACGTTCGTATTAGCGGTACGCCGATGCAACAATTGTTTACTTCTGCAAAACAAAGCTTTCTTTCTGAGATTTTGGCCTTTATTTGTTCTTCATGAATCACTCATTGGTTTATTTGAAAATTGTAGTCTTACCTGATCACAAAACCAGTGTTTTCCTGCCCGTCATACACTGTCAGAGTTTGGCAGACTAAACCAGCAGTCGTTTGAACGAGTTTGGGTCCCTACAGAAGAATCGGAAGCAGCAGCCTTTGTCAAACTGGAAAAGACACAAGCGATCTCAACGGGAATCCTGTTCTGTCGTCAAGCACACAAACTACATGCGGAAACACAGAGACTGCAGTCTGTACAGATGTCTGTTTTTTTTTTGTTTTTTTTGTAATTGCACCTTTAACTCTAAATTCAGGGGCTGGGGTGTGTGTGTGTGTGTGTGTTTGCAGATGGGTGTTTTGTATGAGAGAGTTTTCGTCATGTGTTGTTGCCAGTTTGTTTTGTGTGTGGGAAAAGTGTATTTATATTTTGATTGTTCAAAGCAGTTTTTAAAATGAGAAATAAATGTAACCCCGAACTTCAGTGAGCGTTTTCTTGTAACTCTTAAATTGGATCCTAAATTTGGTACTCGAAAACAGTGGTAATGCACAACAGCGATGCTTTTAGTCAAGATTATGAGAATTCTTGCTTGATTTTCTACATTTGATCTTAAGTGCTTAGTTTTTATTGAAAAAATGTCAAATAATGCTCTTTATTTCCGAGATGATCATTTTGTAAGTGTATGCTTAATTATAGTGTATTAAATCACCAGAATATGCAGTACTGTACTGTATCCCACAATGCAATGCTCTGGGCTTGATTTCTAATGAACTGAAATCAATATGAACCACAATTTTGATAATCTCCCTTTATTATTCTGAATTGCCAAGACATTGCGACAAAGTTGGACTTAAAATGCAAAATAACTTTTTTTTTCATGATAATTTATTATTAAATTACACTAGCAACGTAACTGGGTCATGTGACAAGAAGCAACATGCTATTGTTTGAATTTTTCTGTTTCATGATGTGTTTTAAACAAAATGTACATTATATTGTGTGTTCAGCACGTTATTAGTTAGTAATGCACTAATATGATTGAGAACAGTCAGTCTTGCCATTTCCTGAGGATGAACTTGTTCTGAGTTAAAGGTCATTCTCTGTAAGCAGGCAGTCTTTTGCTGTGTATTAATTATTTTATGTGGCTGATCCATTGACAATTTTTCCAAAATTTTCTCCTCTGAACAAAGACCTGACTGTGAAGAAAAAAACCTTTTCCGGTATCTGAGAGCTGGTCATTTTGGCCACCAGGTGGAGCCCTTGTGTTCTTAAAGATGCACAGAACCTCAAAACGACTGTTCATTTTTATCTTCTTCTTCCTGATCCATTGACAATTTTTCCAAAATTTTCTCCTCTGAACAAAGACCTGACTGAAGAAAAAAACCTTTTCCGGTATCTGAGAGCTGGTCATTTTGGCCACCAGGTGGAGCCCTTGTGTTCTTAAAGATGCACAGAACCTCAAAACGACTGTTCATTTTTATCTTCTTCTTCTTCTTTTTTTTTTTTTTTGTAAGATAAAATGGGGAACACGTTTATAGCAAGCTGAACACACTGCCATGAGTAATTTCCGGGAAGTGTGTCACAACCGCTTTTGTGCTGAAACATAACTAGTCAAGAACCGATTTTAGCTTGTTTAATTGGTGAAGCGGTGTAATAAGACGTCCAGACTAAATCCTTAGAGACTTTTCTCTAATTCATTCCATGTGAAAATGTTTCCAGAAGTTAGTTTCCTGACTCAGTGAATGAACTTGAGTCATACTAGTCTGCTCACTGCATAACACTTTAGTATGACTGTGTAAAACAGTATGCATTATGTGAATGATAACATTTTCTAACAGTAATATGCTATATTGTCACGTGACCATATGAGTTTGCATGCTTAATTTAGCAAGTGGCATCAAGTTGTCTATAAAAATAATTATAGAAAGTTGTTTCGCCTTTCTTATTGAATCAAGATGTTGAAAATCACATCTAATGTGTGACCCTGGAGCACAAAAGCAGTCTTAAGTCACTTGGGTATATTTGTAGCAATATCCAAAAAAAACATTGTATGGGTCAAAATTATAGATTTTTCTTTTATGCCAAAAATCATTAGGATATTAAGTAAAGATCATGTTCCATGAAGATGTTTTGTAAATTTCCTGTCGTAAATATATCAAAACGTAATTTTTGATTTGTAATATGCATTGCTAAGAATTCATTTGGACAACTTTAAAGGCGATTTTTCTCAGTATTCAGATTTTTTTGCACCCTCAGATTCCAGATTTTCAAATAGTTGTATCTCGGCCAAATCTTGTCCTGTCCTAACAAACCATACATCAATGAAACGTTTTTTATTCAGATTTCAGATGATGTATAAATCTCAATTTAAAAAAATTGACCCTTATGACTGGTTTTGTGGTCCATTGTCACATATATGACACCCAGCTCATTGTCATACAGTAAACTGAAAGTCAATTTGAGGGCATTGCATTGTGGGATACAGTACATAGTGCCGTATGTGTACTGATTTTAGCATCTCTTACTAAAATTATTATTTAACAGGACAGCAAAGAGGGTTGTATAGTGACACGTTTTTTACCGAGATGATAATTTTCAGTGAATTAATATGCAGTACAACCAGAGCATGTTGTGTATACTGTATTGCAATTCTCTGGACTCTGTTCCATGCATACAGAAGGCAATGAAAAGTTTACATGGGCCTACTATAAATTGCAAAAAATATTAATAGTATTATGTTAGTATGCAACAGTTAGTTCCGGTGCACAAATTTGATTGTTCAGAACAACAGAACTCTTGCTTATGTGTGATATTGCTTAGTTGCATTTGATGCCAGACTATGTGTGGGAGCGTTTTTCCGCATATTAAGAAATACGGAAGATCTGAACATTTTGTGCAACATGGGAAAGGCTTGAAAGTTTGCAAACTCTGCAAAACCGAGCTGAACTCTAATATTAGATGTTCTGTGCAGCACTATGATTCACTGTTTGATGAGTCTGATATTTGAGGTCCGGACCATTGTGAAACATGAAGGGCAGGAAAGAAAGAAAAGAAAAAGAGGAACAGATGATAGAAAGAACAAAAGGAACCCGTTGAGGATTTGGATTTTGGAGGATTAGGGTTTCAAATGTCTATTGTTATTAAAATGGTTTGACCCTTTTATTCAGAAGAAGAAGTTGTGATATTGATTTCTAATATACTTGTTTTTACACATCAGACTTGGACTCTTAATAGTACACTTAGAAATAAACCTTTAAGGTTTTTAAAGAAAATGCCCTGGTTTTATTTTATACTAAATATATTTTTATATATATGTTGTATTTAGAAAAAAATTCCGCATTATTATTATTTATTTTTTTATGTTTTGTGGAAAGCACAAGGTTTCCATCATGGCTATATTAAGAATATTAAGCTTTTTTTTAAATTGTATTGTTATTTTTTATTTTATTTTTGCATTGTGAAATGCACAAGGTTTCCTACATGGCTATATTAAAAAAATATATATAAATATATAATATATTTGCTAGTTGAAAAATGTATGAGCATGTTGAGCAAAAGCATTTGGAAAAGCTACGTGGGTCCTAATCCCTATGAATAATGAATTAATTGCTGAGTGTGCACTAAACACTGGCCACATGTCAATCCATGAAACAACCTCAGCATAGCATCCCCATCAATGATGATGGAGCAGAAGGAAAAATCAAACTGCATATAGAGCGTTTCATGACTTCTCCCATATTATTCAGCCAAGCTTTGACATGCAGATCATTAGAGACAGAGACAAAGAGAGAAACTTCACAGCTTATGCAGCCGTGGCTTATGCTAATGCCTGATGCTCAATGCATAGCTTATTGATCGCTCGTGTACCTCCCGGGGTGTTGAGGAAACTAAGGAGACATCTAGTCTTTGCATAGAGGACTAGAAGAGACAGCAGGCCAGTGATTAGTTATGCGCATAGGACAGAAGTTACTGAGCAGTTACTCCTGACGAGTCTTAGCGTGCCTCGGCTGCTGGGACATCTGTTAGTACAGCTCCATCATTCACTGTCAAACACACGCCCTGCATTTCTTTCAAATGCCCATCCATCTTTTTTTTTAGCAATATTGATTACAACCCAATTGACTGTTGAGTTGATAGGTGGGGATCATGAAGCCTACGTTATGAAATGACAAAACAAATAAGAACAGAATAGAGGCTTTATGATCCCCCAACTGTAAGGTCTAAAAGTTACTGATGAGGATGCATCTGTTGTATATGGAAGGCCGTTTCAACCATTGAATAAAAAAAATAAAAAAGATAATTGCGATTTTTTTTGCGACTCAGGATTTTGTGCTATTCTGAGAAAAAGAAGTCAGAATTGCAAGAAAAGAAAAATAATTGTGAGATATAAACTCAGAATTGTGAGTTTTAAAGTCACAACTACCTTTAATTTTTATTCTGTGGTGGATACAAGCTTCCATAATTTTGCATTCTCACCTAATTTAATACAGATTTTATTTTGTATTATATTATTAGCATAACAGCTTGAGTGAAATTTCAGATTTAAAAAAAATATATATATTTTTTTTTTATTTAGCTTTTAGGCAAGACACCACAGGTGAATAGGGTACAACAGATCCCACCGAATTTATCAAGGTGTTTAATCCGAGTATATTAAGACAGTTGTTTTATATTACAAGGTTTCTGAAATGTTATGATTAAATATGCACCAATTTGCATACATTTCTAGTGCAATGGATAAAGTCAGGTTCATTGTATTTTATTTATTCATGTATGCACTGTGAGATGCACAAGGTTTTCTACATAGATAAAGTGTAGCAAATAAATAAAGTGTAATTTAAATGTGTATTTTGGATATTTTCTTTCCACTAGTCTGAGAAAAGACATGTTGTGGAAGCAAAATAGTCTAAAATCTCAAAAATGTCCAATGCATGAAAAAAAAAACAATGGTTTTGTCTGTAGTGACTAACAGCTAAAGTGTAATTTAAATGTGTATTTTGGATATTTTCTTTCCACTAGTCTGAGAAAAGACATGTTGTGGAAGCAAAATAGTCTAAAATCTCAAAAATGTCCAATGCATGAAAAAAAACAATGGTTTTGTCTGTAGTGACTGACAGCAACATCTTGAAGAACATCTTGTGCTTCATTGGAAGCAAGAACATCTGACCATCTGTACAAAGAGTCACATGATCAATGTCAAATTTGCATATTTGATTAGTGACCTTGAAATAGTGCAGAAATGATTTATTATTCGTAGTACAAAAATGATGTGATGTAAAACATATGGCATAGCTAGTTTTAGAGCATGGGTATGGGAAGGGCATGACGATAACTATGCTAAAGTTAGTTCTATTTCCAAGGAACACAGATAAAGTGTATCCTGTGAATTTGACTGTAAGTTTCTTTTTAAATAAGTGCGCCTGCCAATGTAATATATACACCAAGTTAAACTAAGGTATAGAGGACACCGG